ATCTCAAATAGCCTATCAAAAAGCTATTTTTGGTGTCTCAACAAACACTAAATTGCAAAAGGCTACAAAAATTAATTAAGGTGGCTTATGCGCCAAACACAGCCTTAATCGACTTAATCTAAAATATTGTTTAAACATCATTTATTCATGTACACATGACACATCAACTGACGACCTATATAATACTTGTTTATCATTTCTGAATGCTAGTCTGATAAAGCTTCAATGTTGGATGAGGCCATCGAGTATCTGAAATCACTTCAAATGCAAGTGCAGGTATATATATAAAAGATTCCATTTGGTCTTTTTTTTTTTCTTCCATCATATATATTATTGGCTCCATTTTTCCTTTCATACTATACTTGTACAATCTAAGTCTCTGAAAGTTCCAATTTTTTTATAAATTATATCTGTTTTTACAAATAATTTTCATATAAGATAGATGACATATAATTATATATAATGCAGATGATGTCGATGGGATACAACATGGTGCCAATGATGTTCCCAGGTGTGCAGCGATACATGCCAACAATGGCCCCCATGGGAATGGGAATGGGAATCGGAATGGGAATGGATCAAGCCCAAGTCGGAATGAACCGCCCCATGATTCCATGTCCAACAATGCCACCAAATCATCAAGGTGCAGCAGCAGCAGCAGGGGTTCATGTGGGTGGTCCACGTTTTCCGGTTCCACCACGAGGGTTTCAAATGCCACAGCAGGTCCCTGTCCCTGTCATGGGTCCCGCAGCTGCAAGATCAAGTCAAATGGCTAACGTTAACCCCATCATGAACTCATTTCCTCCAAACCAACCATGCTTTCCATTCCCTGTAGATCCATATCAACAGTACATTGGTCTCCCCCAAACACAATTACCACAACCTCCTCAGGTACAATTACAATTACAATTCAATCAAAACAAAACGTGTAACTGTAATTCATCCACTTAATTTTCACCAAATTATGTACACAAATAACATTACCACTTTCACCCACTTAACCAAAGAGCTTCTAACCCAATAGTATCAGGCGATGCTCTCATTTTTTGAGGTCGAAGGTCCAAGTCCTGGAGTAAATTTGTTGTTGGAAAAAAAAAAAAAAAGACATTTTACTTTTTTTGACCTGTTTTTCCTTGTTACCCAACTTTGAAATTAGGCCAAAATATTGATTTTGCTACTGATTCATCTATTGTTTTTCTTATCGGTTCAGCCAAAATTTAGTTAAGTGGATTAATCATACGTTTGAGTTATGGAGTCTGATATGTCAACTACAGACTGCTACTAAAATTTAGGAATGGGTCCCGCGCTATACACAGATTTTGATGTAATTTGTATACTTCATTAAAGAATTAATAAGTCTACTAAGCACGATTACTCCAATCATATGAATCATATACATTATTCTGCTTTTTTCTCCATTGTATGTTTGTCATTCAAAACCCTAACAATTGTTTTCCTGTATCTTAACCTCTTTCAAACCGTAAATGGTTTAATCACTGTAAAAAATAGTCACATAGGTAGCTAGATCAATAAAATATTAATTGAGCAAACGGTGTTTGTGCAGAATCTTACATGCACGCCAAACAGCAACAAAGATGTTAGGGAGCCGAGCCGTCAGTGAAGCGGTAATTAATAAGCCGATGAGCCTTTTGTGGTGTAAGATTGCCGTTTGAAGATGAAAGACGTATGTACGTGGGCTATTTTGCCTAATTAGTGGAGAGGTCAGTTTGGGAAATCACAGGCTGTAATTAGCCGACTAAATTTTGTAGTTAATTAAAAAAGGCCAGATGATGCATGCATATTAATGCATATATATGATATATGATATGTGATATATATGTAACATATATAGTTGACGTGTAAATTATACGATGATAGACATGTTTTTTCTGTTCTATCTAGTATATGCATCAAGGAACCAATCGGAGTGATTCCCCACTTCCAACAATTGAGTCATTGAGATAGTTGCAATTAAGACCAATTTCTCTAAGAAGAACATTGTGTATATCTACTCTACTAAATGAAGGTTTTTTGCCACATGACCTCTTCTCCTTCATTTGGACATATGGCATTTTCTAAAATTTTTAAATTTTCTATTTTCCACTTGTCATTTTATTGTATTTTTCATTTTATTAAATTAAAATTCCACATTTAATATGTAAGGTATTTATTAGAAAGAGTTTATATATGTAATGTATTCTATACATTAAAGTCTCATTAATTTTAATAATGCAAAAAAATTCTCATTGGTCTCACACCTAGTTTATATTATTCATGATGGAAGAAACGTTTTGAAATGCTCTAATTATTTAACTACTCTCTTTTGACTTTAGTAATTTTTTAACAGGAACCCGTAAGCCAAGAACAACGTACTGATAGATGATTTTACACGATTTTTCTTGGAACAGAAATAACTTAAATCAAATTTCTCATATAAATGAAAAAGCTGATTTCCAAGGCCTAATTGAAGGAATTTGGGTATGAACTCCTTCTTTAGGGTTTGCCTTAACCTTTTGGTTCATCAATAAACCAAAAAGCTTAACAAACCTCTAATACAACTAAATAAAAATAAAAAGTTCAATGCTTATTTATGGTTATACTAATATCAAATTATAGAGTAAATGAATAAAATCGTATGGAAAAAATGAAAAAAAAAAAAAACTTTATCTGTTAAGCTTGTAAATTTACAAACAATGTGAAAAAGCTTACATAAGAACTTATTTTGACTTTATATAGTTTATTTGTGTAAATAAGTTGTTGAAAAAGCTTATATTGTGGATGCTATTAATAGATTAAAAGTTAGATTCTAATGAGGTTGGATTGCTCTTTTACATTCAATTTTGTTGTCTATTCCTGTGAAAGACGACTTCTTTGTTCTTAAGAATGTAGCCTTTTTTCTTGTGGGTGGTATTACATGCATGTAATTTAAGAATCTGTGTTCACTTTAAATCCCGAAATATATCCCTTTTATATCATTCGATAGCAAAGGTGTACTAGCAAGTTGACAACTTGATTTGGACCTAGGACTACCCATTTTGGGTTAAGAAGATCTAAATGTGATAGCAAACTTTAAACAATAAACATGTTTTAGATTGTAAATATACACACAAGTGTGACAAATAATAAAAACATATACTAAATTGTCGTTCTAAAAAAATAACATTATTAAGTTTTAAATAAAGGGTTTACTATTGTTCTTCGACAATCTTTACGGTTAAGTATATCTTTATAGAAGTGTGCTTTTACTCTTTTATAGGGGCAACTAAGGGCATCCACAATGCATTGAACTCCATAGAGTTCAATGGATTGCCACATCATTTTTCTAAATTTCATACAACTCAATCAATTTTTTTCCTACAATGCATTCAACTCTACAAAGTTCAATAGAAAGTTACAAAAGCTAATTTATAGTATGTATTTAAGATTAGAAAACTTTCATTTTTCCCATTGAAGAGTTCAATGACCATTGAAGAGTTCAAACTCCAAATCCATTGAATGCCAATGTGGCATCTCACTATGGTAGAGTTTCATCCATTGAATGACAATTAGACTTGTCACCTCATTCAACTCTCCCATTGAACTCACCATAATGGATGCTCTAATATTTTAACGTTTAAAATCAAACAAAATAACTTTAAAAATAATCATGAAAATAGGATTACAAGAAATTGAGAACTACAGAGAAATAACCTAATTTTTGGAGATTTACCGAAATGATCACTATTTCCAAAACTAGTATTTCAGATTTAGATAACATAGTATTTTTTTTTATAATTTTTACCACACTTATTAAAAAAAACAAAAAATACCACCTCAAATCCGAAATGTTCAATATCACCATTTCTTCAACTAAATGACATATTTTATATTCTGGTATTCATAACTTATTTTACTTTTCTTATGTTGTTTAACTTTTTATCGAATTTTAGTAAAAAAAAAAAAAACATTTTCTCGACATTTCGAATGTTGGTCACTATATTTCAGACATGTTCTTGAAATTTTTGATTAACTTTTTTATGTCCGAAATCCAATATCCGCAATCCGAACTTGAATCTGAAATATATATTTACTTATAGAAAAGTGTTATCATTGACATAAAGTTGGTATGAAATTAGTCTAAAGTGTTATCTGAAATATATATTTCTTAAAAGTTTTTGTGATTTAAGTAATTTACTTTCTTGCAAAGTATCATTATCGTTATTAGTCATATGCATGATTTAATAACAAAACCATTAAGTTTGATTTTCATAGAGTTTTATGGTTACTACAATATTGTTTTCTACGGGTTTATTTATTTAATTATTTTTCTTTAACGTCTTAAATGTTTGAAAATGAGAATTTTCGATCCACTAGAAAATCTTTTTATTTTTTTCTTCTTCCTTGAGAAAGAGAATTTGGACAACTTAAAAACCTACAATATAGTTCATAATGTTTTTTTTTAAACAAGAATCATAACGAATATAAGAGTTGTACTGGGCTTGAACCTCCACAATGGGATCGGAAAGAATAGGAAATTGATGACATTCTTCGCTGAAGTTGTTTTCTTGCCTGCTAAAAATCTGAAAAATCGTCCACACTTGTATGGCCTTTGAAGAGGCTGCGTTTCTTTTTTTAGAGGCTAATATCAGTAGGGGTCAAAATAGTTTACAAAAGGTTAGAGAATGGTATTTTTTAGTACATTGGTATATATCTATTATGTCATTATACCTTTGTGTATATTATGACATTATACCTTTGTGTATATTATGATGGAAGAAATGTCTTGAAATATTCTAATTGTTTTAACCAATCTTGTTTTGGTTTTAGTAATTGTTTCATTTATTTATCAAACCAAAATAACCGAGTCAATGAAAGATGATTTTAAGCGATTTACTCATGAAACAGAAATAAATAAATAAAAAACGCCAAATTCAAAGTCCTAAATGAAAAAATACGGGTCCATGTCAAGACTTATGTTTGTGGGGTTTTAAATGCAGAGGTACGACTAACAGTTTAAAGTTATAAATTAAACAAAATAACTTATAATTGCTACCAAAAATATTATATGATTGGTTAAAACTACAAGACCAAAAAAAGATTACATAAACCAACATGTTTAAGCTAACGAGTCAAAGTTCCTTATCAAGGTAAATTCATAAACCTATAACCGTTGATCCCCAGATTGATTTACCATTGACAAAATCTAGCAATAGAGAACAACGAGAAACATATTAATTCTAAAACAAAAACATATTCGCATCATTTTATCGATTTAGCTACTGAACTATTATTTAGTTGTCGATTTAGCTACCACATAATTATTATGATAAGAATCATAGAAAAGATAATAGTTCGGTGGCTAAATCGATAGAATAATGAAAATTTAAAATACAAGGACCTTTTTGTGTATTAGTTTTTCCTTAAACTAAACGACGATAAAAGATGATACCTTTTCAGTGAACAGGCGAAACATTTCTTGTTCCATTGCTTTATCAAGTTCCTAAAAGATTTGAAAAACAACAATCAGTGTTGCTTTGATTTGTTGTGTAGTTACTTTATCAATTTAAAACTATAAAAATAAGGAGAGCAAATAATATATATATCACTTACAGTTCGAGCGTCTGCAGAACAATCTATGTTGCGTATGAGTTTCTGCAGATCTTCATCTTTCAGAGCATCACGGATTTCAGTACAAGAAGCTGAAGTGAAAAATCTTATCTTTATAAGCAATGTGTCTTTTAGTGGAATTAATAAGGTTAATATGCAAATCGAATTTAAAGAGATGTAAACTGACACCGAGTAACATGGTCAACTTTCCAGTCAAAATAAATATACACAGAAGAAAGCATGCATACCTATGCACTCTAGTTGGGATTGTGGTAAAACATCATCATCAACATCAACATAACATGGTCTATCCACATCCATTGGTGAAGTACTTGTGCCTGTATTTATAAATACAGGGTGGAGAATTGTAACTACATTGCTATTATGTGTAAAGATATGTAAGTACATTGTTACAATGGGTAAAGAAAATTGAAGTATATTGCTATGGTGGCTAAATAAATGTAACTGCGTAAGTAACATTGCTAGTATGAGTAAAAGAAGAGTGCAGTATATTGCTATTTCCTGCACTTTGCCCTTTTTAAATTCTATATATCTGAAGTATGAGTTGCAAGATTCGTTTTTAAACTTGCATTTACATGCACACAAATATGTTTATAGAGTTGAGATCACTCTGTGTGTTACTAAATCGAGTAAAGAAAATACAAGTAGCAATGTAACCATACTTGTATCGGTCTCAGGAGCAGGAACTTGTTTAACACATGGAGTTTCTGCAAAAAAATAAATTTCTTCAGAACCTAAACAATAACTGATTTGGCGAGAAAACAAGTTTGAGACTAAACACTAGAACAATCCAGAAATGAAGGGAATCACAATCGGCAGGTAGAAGAGACCGAGTACCTTTGTGTTTCTTAAAACAGACGAGAGAACAACTGTAAAAGAAATCAGTATCAGTGAGAGAATATGATCGAATACGCATAAAAACCCTAAATCGTAGGAACACAAAGTTGAAGTTGAAGGTAACGATGAACTTACTAGGGAATGAGACAGGAAGGACACTTGTATTTGGATACTGCTTTCTCACATACTTTACAGCTTCTTTTAGGTGGTGTACCCGACTCTTTAGGTGAAGGTCCTTTCTTTGGCTTCCCCATTCCGATCAGACCTAAGCAGATGACGCTATATCTATACTATATCGATAGTCCGGACTCCGGCAGTGGCAGTGGCAGTGGCAGTGGCAGCGGCAGTTGGTGGCAAGGCAAACCAGGGGGAGAATGAGATATAGTAGTAGGCGCCGCCGATTGAGCCGGGAACATGTATATGAAGAACAGAAGGTTTGTCTGTGGTTTTAGCGTTTTTAGGATAAATAATAATTACGAATAATATGAAAAGTTAATGTTAGTATATAATTACGAATAATATAAAAAGATAACGAAACATTGTAATTTAAAATTTTCTGCAATAAAAATAGGCAAACGAGCCGAATGTTTATTTTATTTGAGACGAATTTGATCAAATTGAGTAAAAGAACATGTTAAAAACGTATGTGATATAACAACCAATGACTTCCAGCCTAGCTGGGAAGAGATACCGGGTTTAATATCCACGTGGGGTCAGAGGTCGGGAGTTCAATTCCTGCAAAACCCAATTTGGGTGCCTCTTAAATTTGTGTCACATGTGGGGAAATTTTCCCTGGAAACCCTTATGGGGGCTGGGTTTGCCCTGTAAAGGAGCTCGAACCCAGAGTGCTCATTAAAATATACGAGTAGCCTTCCGTTTAATCATTTGTCGTTTCCAAAAAAAGATATAACAACTAAATTATGGGGTTATAAGAATTAAGAACTCGGAACTCGGTACAATATCTACCATGTTTTTGGAGCCTTATTGGGTTTGGTTTTTGGATGGGTTTGTTGGTCGGTTTTTCAGGTTCAATCCATTATTATTAGTTGAGGGTTTTGGATAGTTTTGGGTTTTACCTTATTACCCAACAATTCTAAATAAAGTTAAAACATATTCAACCAATTTTATTTATAAACAAAAACACTAAGAGCACATCCGACAGAGACTTATTTTAGAGTTTTTTAAAACATATTCAACTTATTTTCATTTGTGTTTTTATTGACCATTCAAATAATATTGAATGAACAGTATACTATAAAGCTTTGAACATCTAACTCTTTATATTTTTTTATTATATTATATTTTTATCCCTTTATTATATTTTAGTTTTAAATATTTTCCATTTCTATAACTACTTAATTATTTCTAACATAGTTTTTCATTTATGATATATTTATATACTAATTTCTAATGATAACCTTAATTTAAAATATTTATATTAAAATATAATATGTTTAAAAAACAACTAACTAAATGAAAAAGTTTTATGCAACATTTTAAATAAATTATAATCAATAAGTTAAATTCATAAAGAATTTATGCAACATTTTAAATAAATTATAATCAATAAGTTAAATTCATAAAAAAAACTATTGAAAAAGTTTAACTATTAAAGAAATCATTTAATTTTGAGATCAAAATTATTAGAATAGTAATTTGACAAAAATATAATGTGATAGTATATTGTTACTATTGGAGATGCTTTAAAATCAACCAACTAATTTAAAGAAACTAACAAAACTTAAAAGTCAACTGCTTCAAAAAAAACATGAGAGATTAAATGTCAACTAGTTTAAAAAAATTAAAAAAGATTAAAGTTAAACGGATTTTGGGTTTAAACCCATGGATTTAGGTCGGTTTTAAACAATTGGCTCGGTTCTTAATGTGCAAACCGAACCAAAACCACCCAAAACCAATGGTTTGGGTTCGGTTTCGTTTTTATCGGTTTTGTTTAGCACCTAGGTTTTTATAAAGATCAAATAATATACATAATGCAATGAAATACAAAAACAATTATTAAGCGAAATAGGCTGTAACGAAAGTAATATGAGTTATCATCAAATAAACATAAACAATCAAAAAAGAATATGGTGTCGAGCATTTTCACATATATAATCCTTCAGGTACACCCTCTTTCTTCTTGAACATAACCTTATCCTTTGCCTTCTTAAAATCCCCATGTGTCACCTAATTTAACCAAAACACCACCACAAATTTAGTCCATATAGAAACATATACCATTGTAAACCCATTCACACTAACCTTCATTCTACGTTCTCTTAAAGCAAGCAATCCAGCCTCAGTACATATAGCCTTGATATCTGCCCCTGAGAACTCATCTTTCGTCATAACAAATTCTTCCAAATTAACATCATCCGCCAAAGTCATTCTTGATGTGTGTATCTAAAGTAACAAAATCATCAATACACATAAACTAAAAAAAATATAAATTAAAACTCACAATTTTCGTTCAAATTTACCTGAAAAATTCGTCTCCTGGTTTTAGTGTCGGGAAGGGGAAACTCAATCTTTCGATCAATCCGACCCGGCCTAAGCAAAGCCGGGTCAAGGCTTTCGATTTTATTAGTCGCCAAAATCACCTTAACATCACCTCTTGAATCAAAACCATCCAATTGGTTCAATAATTCCAACATTGTCCTTTGGATTTCACGTTCCCCTCCAGAGTGTGCATCATACCTGCATAACAAACCAACCATGGTTACAATTGTTGCACTGTGAGACTGATGTCAATAGGACAAAAGTTGCGGCCTTTTGTTCAACCTAAAAAGGAGACTCCTAATCTCTTGTCTGTGTAAAAGACGTGAATGCCCTCCTGGTCATTGAAAACAACCCTAGAAAGTTTGTTAAATACCTTTTTGTACCAACGGCATCAATTTCATCGATGAATACAATAGATGGGGAGAGATCATCCGCAACTCGGAAGAGTTCTCTCACCAATTTAGGACCTTCTCCAAGGTACTTTTGAATCAACTCGCTCCCAACAACACGCAAGAAAGTTGCTGACGTGGAGTTTGCCACTGCCTGAAAAAAAAAAAAGCCCATTAGTGCTTACTGGATTAAGATGTAAGTAAAAAAGAAACAGTATCTTAGATTGACACAATAAGATAAGTTGAAGAGCAAACCTTTGCAAGCAAAGTCTTGCCTGTTCCAGGCTCACCATACAATATAACCCCTTTAGGAGGTTTGATTCCAATGTCTTCATATAGTTCTGGGTGAGTCAATGGGAGCTCTACTGCCTCCTTTATTTCTTGTATCTGGGCATCTAATCCACCAATATCAGCATATGATTCCAAAGGAGCCTTCTCAACCTTCATCACTGACACCATTGGGTCAACATCATCTTGTAGGAGCCCAACAACAGAAAGAACCTGACATTGTATAAAAAGACCCCATTACCATAATTTGCTTTGGGGTAATCAGAACTTCAGAAGTAATTTCCATATATGGGACCACAATCAATCATGGAATGTAATCGTTTCATTATCAAATGCTATAGTAAAAACTACTTTATACACTCTTCAATTACCAATATGTGATCTATTACTTCTGATCAGAACACTATTCCTGTTGCGATCACATTAATCGCTTTCAATTCCAATCAACTCAAACCTAATTCAATTAAAATGAAGGCTGTATATAACTGGAATCAATTAAAAAGCTAATGTGAAGGCTAAAATAATCTCAATGCAATTGAAAGGAAGAATGTTACCTTATTGTGCATCAAAATCGCACATCCAGGCTCCAATTGATCCTTGTCAACAAACGATAAAATACCAACGTAATACTCCGGTCCGACCGACGATGACACGATGGCGTGATTCTCATCAATAAGCTCTTCTAGATTACCAACGCTCATCGGTGTTCCACGAAGATCATCAACCTTAGACCTGTCTTCTTCAGTCTTCTCTTCCTGAGGCTTCAACCTTTCCTGATTGGCCACGAACTCCTCTTCCATTAACAGGTAATCTTTGATTCGCTCGAGCTTTAAGAGCCGTAGCCTACACTTTGAATGTGGCGTAACCGTCGGTAACCGAGCCGCTGCCTCAGGTCCCTTCTGCTTACGTTGTTTCCGGCCAACTCGAGCAGGCGGCGCTGCCGGTTCGAATTTCTTCTCCTTTTTGTCGCCGTCGTTCTTGCGATCACCTGGCAAGCCTTGTCGGTTTAAACCGCCTGGAGTTCCTTGACCCATGGTGGTTTGCTCGTCACCGATAGGGAAATACGGATCGGAAATTGGGTTTCTGAAGTTCTTCAACGTCTTTCTTTGCAAGAAAGCAGAGAGAATGGGAAATCACCGTCTAATGGTATATGTACATCCACTCACGAATGACGATTGTGTAAAATTCGGGTCGGTTTTCATCCTACCGATTATTTTTCGGGTTGTGGGCTTTCATTTCGAAAAACTTGCTTCTATTCCAGGCTTATTGAACCGTTTTTCTGTTTTAGTTTTTTTTTAAAGAAAAATAACCGGTAACATATTTTTTTGGTTTGATGTATGCAGTCATTGAATTTTTTTTGTTTATCTGCATTTGACCGATTAACTTTGTTTTTTTTACACATTCATTCTTTATAATCAGGTACTTCAGGTTAAGCCAAAAAAAAAAAAAAAAAAAAAAAAAACTTAGTCGTTCCCCTAGCTTTCGTCTCTCAGTGTCAGTTTATTTCACTTGAAGTAAGAACACTCGTATTTTATTTCTATAAGTATGGACTACTAGGTTATCTAATCTCATTCGCTCCCCTACCTTTCGTCTCTCAGTGTCAGTTTCGACCCAGCATAGTTCTTTCGAAGTTGGTGTTCTTTCTAATCTCTACACATTTCACTGTTCCACCGTAAATTCCCCCTGCCCCTAAAAACTATAATAAAAACTATAATGACCAAAATGTAAATGTATAAAATAAAAACTATTTGGACCAAAAATGTCATTTGATTATTTCCTACAATTTAAAAGAAGGTATATGAAAATTGATTTTTACGGTGGGATCGTTTTTATGGAAAAAAATTGTCCGAACAAACGGAACTAATCCCTATAATAATTTAATATTTTGTAGGGTAAATTATAAAAATTATCCACGTGTTTGTGTAAAGTTGCACTCCGGACTAAATTTTAGTAACCAAAATTTGCAGTCTGGTTTTTCAACTCCAAAAAATCAAAATCGAATGGTTTTCAACCCCAAAAAATCCCAACATAGAATTATTTTTCAACCCAAAAAAAACTAAAACTAAATCATAGATATCAAAAATAGAATGGTTTTTCAACACAAAAAAATGAATTTTACAGTTTGGTATCGACATATATCGATATAGATGTATTTATATAAATTACAAGAGATTATAGATTTTGATATATTGATTTTTTAATAAAAATATGCTCTAAAAATTGAAATAAGAAGAATAAGAAAATAACTAATGGTTGCGATTAAAATTCTTGAAAATATCGGTGTTT